AACTCTTGTGCAAAGGGATCAGCTGCAGGCATAAACTTTTCCCTGTGCTGAAGTCAAATTTCAGAGTAGGCGCACAGCGAGGCCTACTTGTGCAAAACCACCCTTTCCATCTGTGTAAGTTAATGTGCATGAAAATTGTCAACTTAAGTTACCTTTTAAAAGTATAAACAACTTGAAAATGTGGATGTCGCACTCCAAGAGCAGTGATTTAGAAAAATCTGATAAAACCTATTAAAATACAGTTCCAGTTCAACTGGTTCCTATTGCAGTCAAAGGAGTAGGCTTCCCCTGCATTACACCCACATTTGAAAAGCCTGTTTTGAATGTGGCTGAATGATGAGAGGTGTGAGCACCAAGGCGCAGCTCTTGCAGAACAAGAAAAGCAAGGGCTAGGTGGACTCTCAGCTCTCTCCCCACCTCCAGCAAGGAGGTCGTATTTTTAAAAGATGTGCAAGAATAAATTTTGAAAATGGGGTCTGGGCCGGGCAGGTGCAGCCAGGGCCGGCTCCAGGGTTTTGGCCGCCCCAAACAGCCAAACAAACAAACAAACAAACAAAAAAAAAGCCGCGATCGCGATCTGCGGCGGCAATTCGGCGGGAGGTCCTTCGCTCCGAGCAGGAGTGAGGGACCGTTGGCCGAATTGCCACCGAACAGCTGGACGTGCCACCCCTCTCCGAAGCGGCCGCCCCAAGCACCTGCTTGGTAAGCTGGTGCCTGGAGCCAGCCCTGCTTATGATCAGTATTTAGCTATCTGCAAACCGCTGTATTATACAGCCCTCATGAATGGCAGATTCTGCCTCCAGCTAGCAACTAAGTCTTGGATTAATGGGTTTTTGGTTAGTAGCACAATGACATCCTTGATGTCAGTTATCTTTTGTGGCCCCAATGAAATTGACCATTTTTTGTGTGTGATCTCGCCCAACTAAAAAAAACTGTCCAGTAGCAACACCAGGCTGATGTACCTTGTGACTTTCATTATGGCTTCAATATTCACCGTACCCCCATTTCTATTGTCCCTGACACCCTGTCAATGCCTTTTTAATGTTCACAGGAATTTAGACAGGGCTCAAAGCTAAGAGCTTGTGTACAAGGGGAAAAAGCCTGGAGTAGTGAGTACAAATAGCTATTGATGTGGAATGGTGGTGTCAATGCAGAATAACTATTGCAATGTAAATCTACATCCTAGCTCTTTCATACTAAGTTCCTGCTGAAAACCCATCTTGTATACGATCTATAATTGTTTCATCTTGCAGAGAAAATGGGGGATCCTCCCCATAATTTCTCATATATTTTAAGTCCTTCCACGACTGGTAAATTGTGGGGGGGGGAAAGGTTTTAATTTTAACTTTCTTTCTTTCTTTCTTCCTTTCTTTTTTACTTTGTATTGTCATTTTCGTGTAAGTGTTCCATGGAAAATTTTGAGTTTTGTGGGAAACCTGAATTTCTGCCCCTAGTTTACAGCATTCTGTCAGCTGCTGAGAACCACCAAAAACCTTTGGCCAAACTCTTTTCAGTTTTGTGATGAAAAATGGAATGCTTTCAAGGCAATCAGACCCTTTTCACAAAAATTCACATTTAGTCAAAAACCCAAGTTTCCATCAAAAAATGTTCTGATAGAAAATTTTTGACCAGTCCTACTTGGAGGAATATACAGGTCCACAAACACTTGGGAAGGGGAACATATTATTTCAATGAGACCAAAACACTCACTGCTGATAACATTTAATGGTCCTTTTCCTTCGCTGCACATGGCTTCCCTCTCTGTACAGAGCTCTTTCCAACCTTGATTTTCATAGATTCTAAGGCCAGAAGGATCCACTGTGATAATCTAGTCCAACCTCCTGGACAACACAGACCAGAGACATGCCCCCAAAATAATTCCTAGAGCAGATCGGTTAGAAAACTATTGCATCTTGATTTAAAAATTGTCAGTGATGAAGAATACCTTATTTCCAGTCTGAATTTGTCTAGCTTCATCTTCCAGCCATTGGATGTTAGACCTTTGTCTGCTAGATTGAACTACCCATTATTAAGTATTTGTTTCCCAGGTCGGTGCTTATAGACTGGGATCAAGCACTCCTGAACCTTCTCCTTGCTGAGCTAAATAGATTGTGCTCCTTGACTCCATCACTATCAGGCAGGTTTTCTAAACCATTAATCATTCTCATGGCTCTTCTTTGAACCCTCTCCAATTTTACTTCAATTCCTTTAAAGTGGACTTCTCTGAATGGCCAACAACTTAATCAATGGGGGGAGTGTCCCCTATTGGTGGATGTAATTCTCCTCACATACTCACAAGCCTTTCTGTCTCACTCCCACTTATTTTCCTTTCTGGGACAACTTTTGTATCTCTCCCATTCTTCTATTTTCAAGAGTGAAAGTTTTAAGGCTTCAATTTAGAGAAATGTTGAAGAGAACTGAACACCCAAGTCTAATGAATGTTAATGGGAAGTGGGCATCCAAATCCCTTAGGTTGCTTTGAAAGTCTCAGCTGAAGAACATCAAGTGCTATGCCCCTAAAATGGCTCTGGATTGGGGTGAATAGAGGTAGGTTGTCTCTGGCCAGGGCGTCTCCTGAGCAACTGCAGTCTTCCTGAGCTACCGAGAACTTCCTGAGGTCTCTGGGAGCAGACTCACTGCACAAAGATCTATGGAGGCTTGAATGGAGAAGTGTAGAGATGTGAAGGGGATACCCTCATCCTTGCAAGCTGCCTTCCTTTATTTCTCCATCACCTGCATTGCCAACGTGATTTGTGCTTTCTTTGCCTTTCTGCAGTTCTCCTGAAATCAACCATTTCTTCTTTGATGTCCTCCCTCTGATGGAATTGTCATTTGTACACACCTATTGGAATAAGATAACTGTGTTCACAGGTGCCTTATTCTTTGCAGACACCCCTTTCTTCTCATACTCATCTCTTATATTAAAATAATCTGCACCGTCCTGAAGATGCTGGCAGCTGAGGACAGACACAAGGCTTTCTCCACCTGCTCCTCACACCTCCTTGATGTGACTCTGTTCTATGGCTCAGGAACGGTTGTGTATTTACACCCCAAATCAACTGGCTCAAGGGACATTGACAAACTCCTCTTCCTTATCTACACAGTTCTTGTTCCAATGCTTAACCCCATCATCTACAGGCTGAGGAACAGAGAAGTGAAAGGTGGCATTTGGAAGCTTTTAGATCAAAAATTATTGGGCAAAAGTACATGAGAAGCTCCTTTAGACATGTTCCAAATACCCTGACACATTGTTCATTCTTCTGGGTAATTTACTGAATCTTCCAGACTCATTCCAGTTTCCTCTAGGAAATGTCTGGATTTCTCCTGATAATTTTTTTGCCTCCTTACAGATTTCTGAAAATACTTTACAGGTTGCAAAAGACACTGCAAAAAAACAACAACATATCAAGCTATGTTCCACATCCCTGAAGAGGCATTCTAGACCCATCAGATTATATTCTAGACCCTTAGGCTAGGTCTACACTACCCGCCTGAATCGGCGGGTAGAAATCGACCTCTCGGGGATCGATTTATCGCATCCCATCGGGACGCAACAATCGATCCCCGAATCGATGCTCTTACTCTACCAGCGGAGGTGGGAGTAAGCGCCGTTGATGGGAAGCCGCAGAGGTCGATTTTGCCGCCGTCCCTACAGCGGGGTAAGTCGGCTGCAATACGTCGAATTCAGCTACGCTCTGCGCGTAGCTGAATTTGCATATCTTAAATCGACCCCTCGCTGTAGTGAAGACCTGCCCTTAGATATAGGGGCGGCTCTATGTCTTTTGCTGCCCCAAGCACCGCAGTCAGGCGAAGGTGGCCTCACTACCTCCCTCACAGTGACCAAGAGGCCGGCCCCTGCGGCTTGCCGCCCCCAGAACGCACTTGCTGCGCTGGTGCCTGGAGCCGGCCCTGGGTGCAGCCGCAGCTCTCTGTGCGGGTGGGGGCGAGGGAAGGGACAGAAGTGAGGAAAACGCTCAATTTGTCATTTAAGTAGGGATGCAAATCCCAAGTGCTACCCACCTGCGGCGGGCGCTCCTCCGGCCACGGGGTGGCGCTGTAGCCGCCGCTCGCGGCGTGGGGATTTGCATGTGTTCTCTCGCCCGCAGGGATCACAACCCCACACCGGCAGTGTGCGCGAAGGCTGCCGGGACGGTGGCATGGCAGCCTGTAGCGGGAGCCGCGGACTGGGGTTTGGAGGTTGACATGGAGGATGCGGCGGCCGGAACCGAGAGGAATCTGCGGGGCTCGGGGGTAGCGGTGCTGCTGGGGCAGGAGTCCGGCCGGCCCGTTCCCTGCTGCCCGCACGGTGAGTCGGGGGTAGCGCTGTCCTGAGCCCGGCCTCTGGGAGGGATCCCGGGTGGGGGGCAGAAGGTAGCGGGCTTGGCGGGGAGCTCAGGGGATGGGAAGGGGCTGGGGAGAATGCGGGCGGTTGGAGGGGAGCGGAGGGAGGGAGGTGGGGAGGATCGGGGAGGGGAAGGAAAGGTGGGGCTGGGGAGAATGGGGGCTGGTTGGAGGGAGCAGAGGCCAGCGGGGATTGATGGGGAGGGAACTCGGGACGGGAAGGGGCTGGGGAGAATGGGGGCTGGTTGGAGGGAGCAGAGGCCAGCGGGGATTGATGGGGAGGGAACTCGGGACGGGAAGGGGCTGGGGAGAATGGGGGCTAGTTGGAGCGGAGCAGAGTAGAGGGGACGTAGGGAGAGTCGGGGA